CTCCCTGTAAACAGGGAAGGAACACCCTGCTTCGTTTGCAAGAGCAGGACTTATGGGGAACGCCCTGCTTCGTTTGCGGGAGCAGGACTTATGGGGAATGCCCTGCTTCGTTTGCGGGAGCAGGACTTATGGGGAATGCCCTGCTTCGTTTGCGAGAGCAGGACTTATCAGGAGCACCCTGTTTGTGAGCACATAGTCCTCTACAGCTGAGGTGGGAGGATCACTTGAGCTTGGGAGGTGGAGGTTGCAGTGAGCCAAAATCACAACATTGCACTCCAGCCTGGGCAATGGAGTGAGACTCTGTTTCAAAAAAACCACACACACAAGAAAAACCCATTATCCTTTACCCTGATGTTATGTTCTTCCAGCTTTAGGTGGTTGAAATATTCTCTTTTTTAATGGTGATATTGTTTTGATTTAATTTAATTTAATTTAATTTAGGAGAGCTAAGTAATTAAACATGAGGCCAAAGTACGTAAGAAAGTGGCAGTCTTTTGTTGCAAATATGCACACACTCTCGGGCGAAGTTCTCTGGTCCTCAGGTGTGGGGGGCCAGGGAAGTCGCGCCGGCGCTCTCGGGTGATGTTCTCCGGTCCACAAATGCGGGGCCGAAGAAGTCACACCGGCTCCTGCCAGCGGCGGACTTTTATGCCTGGGAGCTGGAAGGGGAGGAGTTTGGGGCATGTGTGTAGGAGTGGCTTCTTGAATTTCGGTGTCCCCGGCTTGACGTCATTCTGCGCATCCTCAGTTGATTTGGTTCTTTTCCCGGGTGTGGGAAAATCTGTGATGAAGAACCCGGAAACAACAGGGACTGCTCCATCTTGTTCACCTTCCTCCATCTTGTCCCTTTTCCTTCACCCAAACAGATATTTTAAAGGTTTTTAATACAGAGAAATGAGAATTTGTCCATCTATATCAATCCCTAACATTTATTTAGAAATTTGATTGATGCATGAAGTTCCAGTCTTTAATGACATAAAGTATGCACAGGAATGGGTTTTCAACTATTTCAGAGTTCCTACTACACCCTAGTCATAGCAGAGGAACACAGAGATAACTCAACCACAGCTTCAGAGGCACATGCCAAGAGGCCTGGAATCAAAGCTCTGCCTCTAGTACTAACTGGGTCACCTTAGGCCAATGAGGTAACCCCTCTGAGCCTCAGTTTCCTCATCTGTAAAATGGGAGTAATCGTAGTGCCTACCTCATGTAACACACTGCATCTAGAGCTTGGCACATAGAATAGACTCAATACATGTGAGTCTCTATTATCATTATTATTTAGATGGGGGTAAGAGGAGTCACAGTCATCAGCCATGAGGAGGTACTATGAGGAGGTACCCAATGGGGCGAGGATAGGGTGATGAATTTTCATCTGGGTAGGGGTCTCATTTTGTCTCTGAAGTCTCCAACTTCTAGTACTAGTGATCATTTCCACTAGATTATACGACCTCAGGCAAATCATTTCCCAGCTCTCTGCCTTGGTTCTCTAATCTATTAAAAAGGAAGCAATTATTCCCACTCCACAGAACAGTGGAGTCAAACTTTAGCCAGTATCAGAATCACCTGATGAACTTGGCAAAAATATCACGGCACGGATTCTATCCTACTTCAACAAATCTGAGTCTGTTCTTTATTATCTCTTCAGATGCTTTGATACACACCATGTTTCAAAACTGCCATAAGCCATGAAAGGAACAAGGCTCTGTGTTTACTCTAAAGGATCATAAGAGATTATTATCATTATTTACATCCCATTTGCTCCACCCTTTTTGAAGATGTCTAGTGGGCAGGCTGTCTTTTCACCAGTTGCCTGCCCCACCCAGGAAAAGCTGGCCTGCCTCTCAGCATTACCGAACACCCCATCCAAGCCCTTGGGGTTCTCATGCCTTTGGAAGTCATCTACAATCTAGTATCCATCTTCCAAAGGGGAAGCTGGAGTTTGAAGGGGAATAATATCTTTCCAAGGGTTGCCACAGCTTCATGGTTACAGCCATAGTGGAACCCAGGGCTTCGAATGCCTGGGCCACCGGTGTTAGAAGGGCTTATTTTGGACATCTCCACCCTGGGAGAAGACCTGCTAACAGGTGGTGCAATGAGTTGGGGTCTAGAGCCCCACCCTACAAGCTTTTTTTTCACTAATGATGCCTGGGAAGAGCTCTGGCCAAACACTGATATTCCAGCCACCCCTTTCCAAAAGGCCTGAAGATAACTCAGAGTTCTTCTCACCACCTGGAGAGAAAAGCTAGATAGAAACATAGCAAGCTCCTCAACAATCTTATTTACTGACCTTGCTCGAGCAGGAACACAGAGCTGCACCTGCAACCTTAAATCTGAGATTACAAATTTAAATAGTGGAATCTCAGGCTGTAAATGAGCGGGTCACAGGATGCAGCCTGCTACTTTAAAGACCAGCCAT